TGCTGAGGGAAGGTTGACGAGAAAATAACAATATCGTCTAAATAGCACAAGCAAGTCTTCCACGTCAAGCCTCGTAAAACTGTGTCGATCATCCGCTCGAACGCTGCTGGAGCATTGCAAAGGCCGAATGGCGTGACGTTGAATTCATACAGCCCATCTGGTGTTAAAAACGCTGTCTTTTCTTTGTCATCCTCGTGCATGGGTATTTGCCAGTAACCTGAACGCAGGTATAGGCTTGAGAAGTACTCAGCACCTTGCAGTGAATCCAAAGCATCGTCTATGCACGGCATGGGGTAAACAACCTTGTGGGTAATTTTAATATGTGCTCTGTAGTCCACGCAAAATCGCACAGAGCCATCTTTTTTCCCTACTAAAACAACAGGGGATGACCAAGAACTCGCGGAGGGACGTATAATGTTCCGCTGCAGCATATCGGCTACATTTTGTTCAATGATCTCACGCTCGGACGAAGAGACGCGATATGGTCGACGGCGTACGATGGAAGTGCCATCGGTCTGGATACGATGCCTAATAATGGACGTCTGTCCTAGAGATGAGGAATGGGCATCAAACAATCTCCTATGCTATTGTAGAAAACAAGCAACTCATCTGTCTGTGAAGAGGTCAGTTCTGGACTAATAGTCGCAGCAAGAACAGAAACGCTTGATGAACGTCCAATAGAAGGAAGGTCAGAACACGCTGACATAAGCGGGACAACCGAGACAGGTTGGGATTGAGAAACGCAAGCCAATGTGGTGCCTTTAGGATTGAGAATTTTCTCAGAAGTCTGGTTTGTAGCGTGGAGAAGTCCGGAGCCATTGTGGAACCGCGCTAGACCTGAAGCAAGGGCTATACTTCTTGCGAGACAGCGTGCAGATGGTTGGACAAACATGTCACCAGAGTCGACCACATTAGAAGTGATGGCAACTATCCGCTGATGACCAGGTGGTAGCTCGGTATCTTCAGCAGCGAGCAAGCGAACGGGCTTGTGATCCGCATACAGGGCATAGTCAGTTTCCATCATACGAACATTTTCTCGACAACAGATGGAAGCGTTCGCCGTAGACAGAAAATCCCAGCCTAATATAATCTGGTGGGCACACGAACTGAGCACAACAAATAGTACAAAATGAAGAAGACCAGCTATGAAAACACGAGCGGTGCACATAGCGGCAGGTCTAATGGCGTCCCCTTGAGCAGCGTGCAGTGTAGGTCCATTATAAGGGGTGGTGACTTTTTGCAGACGTGAGCACAAAGAACGATCAATCACAGACAAACAAGCACCAGTGTCTATTAAAGTGTCCACGTACACACCTTTTATTAAAACAGATATCGTATTATGTGGACGCACTGGAGGAATTTCTGTCTTTTCGTTCGATGCAGCTTTTCCTCCAAAAGCTGCAGAGGTTAGTTTTCCGGGCGTTGGTTGGTGAATTGCGAGACAGGTCGCAATGGAGACGTGGAACGGCGGAGGGTTGAGGGTGAATGGCGTCTAGTAGAGTGGTAAGAACTGGTTGGCTCAGATGTCGCAGTTGGGAGACGGTGAGCGGCGTAGCGGCGGATCATAAGGACGACGTTGGAAAGCGTACCAGCTTGTCCCATCATCCCGTCCGTAGGTGTCGAATCCACGACGCTCGTCCTGCTGACGCTTCCGACAGACGCGTGCACTGTGGCCCCGACTGCCGCAGTAATAACAGATCGGACGATGCGGCCGCCACGGGGGCTGAAAGGGCTGGCTAGTCACACTCGGAGTCAACGAAGCCAGCGGGACAGGCGTCGAGTGTGCGGGTCGAGTGTGCGGGTATCGGTTGTACAACGGGTGGTGAGCCAGCGAGGAATTGTGCGTACGTCGGCTGGAGTCGAGGTACTGGAGAGTCTACATACGCTGGCCCGGTCATGGACGCCAACTCCTCTTTGATAACATCGCGCAAAACAGTGTTGGAGGGGGGAGGTGGACTCGGTGTCATTGAGAGGCCGAAAGATTGCAGCTCTTCCCGTATAATCACCCGGATCATGGCACGCAATGAGGCATCAGTCGTGGTAGTGTTTTCAGCGCTGTCTGGCGGTAACCGTTGAGATTCAAGTTCCTCTAGGCGTTGGCACGTGGCAACAACGTCAGCAACTGTAGTCGAGTTTTGAATGACCAAGGCATTGAACGCGACCATGCCGATTCCTTTCAATAGATGACGAACTCTCTCTGATTCAGACATGGACGTGCTGAAACAATGGTGACAGAGATCAAGCGCATCCTCTATGTACGATGTGTAGGACTCGCCGCATTGTTGCTTGCGAGAATCCCGTGTCTTCTTCGCGAGAGCTGAACGAACCACCGGGCTGCCGAAAATTTGGCGAAGCTGTTGCTTGAAACGTGTCCAGTCCGTAATGTCCGTTTTATGATTGAAAAACCATGTTTTCGCTACGCCTGTGAGATAGAGAGAAACACGGCGAAGCTTTGTAGGATCATCCCAGTTGTTAGTGGAACTCGCTCGATGGAACTGGTCCAACCAATCCTCCACATCTTCACCTCGAAGTCCGGCGAACGTGGGCGGCTCACGCTGGTGCGCGGTGATAATCCACGATGGATAGGCCATGTAGCCGGGGCCGTGGAGGTAGACGCAGAAGCGCCGGTTGGCTCGTCCTGAGGCATGTTACCGGACACCTGGCACAAACGACGACCTGAGCGGAGCTCCAGGAGACAGATCGGGCTGGGAGAGGACGGAAGATTGTAGAGCACACTCCACCACTTGTGATGTAACGGTGAAGGCCACTTTTATTAGGCCCAGAAGACACGATGAAGCAGCCACGCCCAAGGCCCAGAACTCAGACAAGCCAAGTCCCCACAGCAAAAGAAGATGACGACCACTCATGATGATGAATACGTGTAAAGATATTAGATGTGCTTAATAAATGCCTACAATATATATATATATATATATATATATATATATATATATATAAGTGTGTGTGTGTGAGTGTGTGTGTGTGTGTATGTGTGAAGCGCCTTCTCTGTTACAATGAACCCGCGTTTACAGATCACGAACGCTAGGGATAAGGGACATTCGCCTTAAAAGCGGCCCTGATGCCACGACAGACACCGAGACAGGTGCGACGTTCATCTCTCGTCGATCTTAACTCTCAAGCTACAGTAGATTACTTCCGTCACTTTTGAAGGTGACGGTTATTTACAGGAAGGAAAGCTTGCCGCGTATATGCATGTTTCAATGCCAAGGCCTTGGAAAGATGATAGTCTTCTGTCTGCAGGCACTGTGTTAGAGTTCCTTGACGTCCTTCCCGCTTTCCTCTTTCATCTACAGAGAGGCAGGCGAAGCGGACATCGTGTAAATGGTTCTTGAAAGTATGGAAAAAGGAGCTAATTTCTGTCTGCCTTGTAGGCGACACTGCTAAGCACCTTTTAAGGGAAGGGGTTAAAAAGAATTCTAGAAGGAGAAAAGCACGGAAGGTGGAGCGCTCACCACGCACGAGTAAAGAAAGAGGAAAGATGAGGTAGGAAAGAGGAGGGACACGGTCAAGAGTCCGAAGACGGGGAACCACTCGGCGAGAGCTACACGGCGTCTGGAGATCGCGGACGGTGGAGCGAACGGCGAAAGCTGCGTTGGCGTCGGAGATTGCAGACGGTGGGCCCATCGGCGAGAGCTGCGCTGGTGTCGGAGATCACGGACGACACGACCGTACAGCACGGAATCTATCCAGCGAGTTTCTGAGGAGGCACTCAACGCTTCGCGAGATGTGGGCGCCATTTGGCAGTGACAACAAGAAACCAAAGTAATTTATCACGCAGACTGACTGGGAGGTTGGTAGCACCGCGTCGTATTAGCGACGCGTGGGAAACACTCGCTTTTGCGTTTCTTATCGTCGCGTTGTCAGCGCAGCGTACTGTCAGCCCTGCAGTCTTTAGAATTACGTTTCTATGCATCTTCTAAATAAAGACACACATTTCCCAATATTGACGTAATAGTTTTGCGCCTCAGCATGCATAAATTTGTTTTTAATTGACAATGTTCACAAGTGCCGAGGCAGCTGCCAGAACAAAATGATTGGACGTTGAACAAGTGGTTAAATTACGTCGGGTCGCTCAATCAATTGACAGCTAGTCAAACAAAAAGACAGAGACAGACAGGCAGACTAAAAAAATTTGCGTTTAAGTGTTCCAAGAAATACTATCATCTTTAAAAAACTGCATGCTTATGGCAACGTGTCTCAACCTGGAAGGAGATAAGAGTAAAAAAAAAGGAAAACAGACAGGATATTGGATCTTTGCAAACAACGCACACAGATGCACGCATGAGCTTCTGTGTTCATCGTTCAGCTCACAACTAAAGCTTTTCATCTGAAGGGGCGCGGGTTGAGCGATATCACGTTCTACGAGCTTGAACATGCCGTCCATGTAGCACAGTAAGTTTTTAATCTATGAAGTGCCTGTGAGATATAATGGGACTACTTTTCGTTGGATGCACGGAGCTGCATGCAACACAAAACTGCAGCCATTAGCATGAAAATTAAACTGGCTTCAAGCCCGACGTTGGAGTATCAGAGTGATTGCGCCCCACAAGTGTCATAATATAAAGAGCTGACATGTCAACGCACTGTCATTGTTTTTCTCGTAGGCTTCCTTTTTGCCGACAGTGGTTTCGACGTGTGGGCCTTGAGTCTGAGAGAGAACCAGCCTTACGTACGCCACAAGACACTCTCTCAAGACCAACCCGAGTTCTGGCAGTTCAGGTAATCTGAGCTTTCTCCTTGCGTTCCTTTTGCGTGGCTGCTCCTATTGAATCAGACACTCTCTCAAGACCAACCCGAGTTCTGGCAGTTCAGGTAATCTGAGCTTTCTCCTTGCGTTCCTTTTGCATGGCTGCTCCTATTGAATCAGACACTCTCTCAAGACCAACCCGAGTTCTGGCAGTTCAGGTAATCTGACCATTCTCCTTGCGTTCCTTTTGCATGGCTGCTCCTATTGAATCAGACACTCTCTCAAGACCAACCCGAGTTCTGGCAGTTCAGGTAATCTGAAGCATTCTCCTTGCGTTCCTTTTGCATGGCTGCTCCTATTGAATCAGACACTCTCTCAAGACCAACCCGACTTCTGGCAGTTCAGGTAATCTGAGCATTCTCCTTGCGTTCCTATTGCATGACTGCTCCTATTGAATCATTAAGGGGATGTCATGTAGTACAAAGCGTAAATGAAGCCGTTTTCACCGACTTTGACATAATGGCGATCACCGTATATAGCAGACAACGCACCCGGCCGTAGGCGCTTGCCCGAGGAAATAATTTATGTGTTGTCTCCGTATTTTGGGTCAGTTGTGCGTATGTTCTGTGCGTTTTCTTTTACTGTTTTGTTGATCTGCAATAACACCCTGTGTGTGAAGTTTCTAAATTGTAGAAATGTTTTGAAAGGTAATTTATACTGCATTTTCAAATCTTCCTCACAAAAGAAGGTTGGTCATTTTCATTCTGAACAGTTTTTGTTTGGGAGCTCCGCTATGAGTTGCTGTGTGCCTTCGAAAAGTAATCGAGAGCCGAGTTCGTTGGTAGGTATTCATGCAAAAAAAAATAAAAAAATACAGCAAGTGAAAACACCTACACAGCCGAGAACTGAAGGCGTCTTTAGAGCCTTGACTTATCTCTTATGGCTGTCTTGCCACGCCTTGCCTATTTGACGTAGTTGTAGAAGCCCAATGGCCTGAACAAAACTCGCGGTGTCATGCATTTATATCTCTTCACGTTCAACCGAACATGATGCAGCCATGACATATTAGAGATAAAGGTAAAAGACTGGCTGATAATTCTGAACATGCGTACGATGGTTTAACTTGCTGTACAAAATTGCAGATACGCCTGCGGTAGCTGGAAAATCCGATGTTTTTTTTTCTTGCCACCTTTCGGGGCCAGACAAACGAAACCGAATGGCTGACAGTTTTAGCTGTCTTCGTCTCAAGGGAAAAAACTGAACTGCGAGGTATCGCCGTTCGCATTCGATCAGTGTTAGGGACCATCCTGCTCTTCTGTGTATAGTGCATTTGCGGCTCTTGTTGTAGCAATACAACGGAGCCCATATGAGCAAACAAAATGCTTGAACGACGTCATCGAAACGCGCATATCCGCAGTTTCGACGAAATGGGGCGCTACGACGTTGCCGCGGGCATAGACCACGTTCTCAACGCCACCGGCGCCACCAAGCTGACGGTCTTGGCATTCTCCCAGGGAACGATCGCCAATTTTATTCTGCATTCCACAAGGCCAGAGTACAACGAAAAGGTAAAGACTACATTAAAGACTGCTTTTTTTTTCTTTGGGCAACCACAGAACGTTCTTTGTTATAACGCAAGTATTACAATTTTATTGTGTTGCAGTGCACCAAAAAAATGTGTTTGTGAAAAGAAAAAAAAACAGGGACAGAAAAGTTAACCACAGAACTACTCTAGTTCACTCCAATTTACTATTGATTGATATGTGGGGTTTTAACGTCCCAAAACCACTATATGATTATGAGAGACGCCGTAGTGGAGGGCTCCGGAAATTTAGACCACCTGGGGTTCTTTAACGTGCACCCAAATCTGAGCACACGGGCCTACAACATTTCCGCCTCCATCGGAAATGCAGCCGCCGCAGCCGGGATTCGAACCCGCGCCCTGCGGGTCAGCAGCCGAGTACCTTAGCCACTAGACCACCGCGGCGGGGCACTCCAATTTACTAGAAAAAGGGAAATAGGTTGCAAAAATTAAACAATGAAAGTTAAGACGAGGCGTCTGTGTCGACATTGCAAATACATAACTGCAAAAACCGTCCATGTACTGCGCACCAACATTATTTGTGAGCAGTCACCATTTGTTGTACACCTCGATTTCTCGAAGAAAGCGCAACAACATACTCAGGACAGCTTGCCTTGCGTACGGGGTAGGCCCATACCATTGGAGTTTGTTTTTGTTTTTTTGTGTGAGGTAAGCCATCTGACACTTGTGGTGTGGCTCGGAGGAAGGCTGCCCGTTCGGAGGTAAGCGGCCACGACATTCACGTGGTGGGGATGTATTACCGCCGAAAGAGTATTCGCGTTTCTGTTGTAGACGCCTCTTCGCTCGTTTCTCTGGCGTGAAAAACAATCAACAGTGAGGTTACTTCTCGAACTTGTGGTTTTTTGACATATTCTCGTGTTCAGAACGACTGTGTTTGCGATCTATGTATTCGTGTTGCTAGTGTCGATGCTTTCCTCCTTTTCTAGCTTTTTTTCTCTAGCATAAACGAACTAAGCTACCTTGCCTACGGAGTCTTTATAGTATGCTACACAACTTCAAGACAAGCCAGTGCCATAGCCAGTAGGGGTCTCTAACACCCCTCCCCGTTCCCGAAATTCAGATGAAGGGTGGTGGTTCAATGAGGACGAAAAATAACATAAGCATTTTTTCAAAAACATCAACAATGCCCCCCCCCTTCCCCTCCAAAAAATTCCCATAGCCATGGGTCTGAGACAAACCTTCTCTCTATTTTCTGCTCTACATACGAACCCGAGTCAGCCTAAATACATACAATGGTAAAGCATTGGCCAGAAGTAGACAGCTTCTCTTAATAGCCCTCTGACCCTAAGCGGGCACCTGGGCCATCTCTGTTCTTACAGTTCAGTACCAGCATGCAACAATACAAGCTCGTCAAACTGACTTATTTTCCACGAATATTGTTTTTTGACAGCGGCAGTGTATTCTTTTAGTGTGGTAGCCTAATAAAACAGTTTATCAACTAATACCCGCTCGAGGCTCCATCTTTCCTCAGGTGAACCCATTTGGAAGCTAAAGCAATCAAATATACACAAAGAGATATGCTGTTCCTACAGGTATACTTCTTTTGATGACTCAACTATTCCTGATAGCAGAATAAAAAGAGGCCGAACCTGTTTAATACCTACTTCAATAGACCATAGTGTACCATTACAGACTTCAAATACTTCTTCAAAGAGGAGGAAGGCGAATTTCCCTCAATATGTACCCACGGGTGGTTTTAAATATTGACATATTATGTCTTTGACGTATAATGAACGTGAGAAAATGAACATTTGGAGATAAAAAATTGTGTTCCCACATTGCTACACTATATCGGCCTGAAAATGGTCAAGTGATGAAAGTAAGCCGTCCATCTACATTGCAACACGCCGTCACTTTGCATTGAGAGTCATAAGTATTAATGAGTCCATTGCTGATTTGTCTTTGCTTTTTTTCCTTTGCAGGTCTCACTATTAATAACATATGGCCCTATTGGAAATATCACTCACGTAGGGTATCCGACCAAGTTGATTCTTCCATATGCGCCTTACCTTTTGGCAAGTTCTGCTCAAAACTTCTAATTATAATGTTCTGTCACAATAACGTTAAAATTGTTATATAAAAACGTTGTTTGGGCTACTTTGTTCGCGACTTCTTGAACGGAAGGAATATTTTGCGCAAAACAGCACTCGAACAGACAAAGAGCGTGAGAGGGCGTCAAACATGCGCGCTGTAGCCTAAAACATGATGAGTTCTTGTGATGCAAAGTTTATAGATACGATTCCCTAGGGACTCTTAGTTTTCAGTTGGATTATCACGAGGGTCGTGCCCCTTGCTGTTCTCTTGATATACCACAGTTGGAATGAGCACGAGTCCTGTTCTCTTTTGTCTGTCCGCGTGCTAATATCTTCACGCTAAATATACTGCTTTCTTTGAAGATGTTCAAAGGCCTCTAACCACCGTATTCTAAAATGTCCCTCCACTCAACGCTTCACCTTCAATTGAGAAGGCCGACGGGAGCACCGTCTCTAGGCAGGGAAAGACACTGCATGTCAGCGATAATCCGCTGCGATTCCTGGTTAGCGCAGCGTAACTTTCAGCCGAGCAGTGGCGCAGTGCTCAACCCTGTCAAGTGAACGGCGAAAGTCGAGTCGAGGAGCATGTGTGAATACGGGGGTAAACCACTCCAACTTCAAAGGCGTGATGGTAGTATTTTTTTCGCCTTCCCTGCCCTTCCTGCCAGTGATATCTCCTCCTCGCCACTTATTTGTCAATGAAACCCGTGCAGTATCAGTACTGAACGTTGAGCCAGTTAGAATTTCGAACTTTTCGACTCTACTCTCTTATCTCTGTTTCTGCAGTCGCGAACGCAGAAAGTGAAGCGAAACCAGTATATCCCGCACAATTGCCATGCAATACAAAGAAGAACGGTCATGCGACTAAATGGTACAGCAGAGTACAGAGCCCCGATTCACAACAGATATCTTTCATATATTGACCAATCGAGAACCTGTTTCATGCTGACGTCGCGTGAACAAACTTCTGATGTCATGAATCAAGCCGCGAGATCGGGAAACACCAGGAGAGAATGAAATGCTCATTTTTTGTATTCACGGAAGCTACTTGGAGGTCCCTCAAAGAGTCCTTTTTGGAGAAATCTAGGTGTGAGTGTATGTCCCAGCGTTGCTGGTTGTAGGTGAAAGATCGACGTGGCCAATCAGCGAGAACTCCGGAGGTTTCCAGTGTGGCCCTCAAGCTTTACAAGCCATGTAATGTTGGGGACGTTGCAAATCGTACTCGCGGTGTTTCCTCGCTCGTTGCTAATAATAGCATAATTGCATCTTGTACTCGGAAATAGAAAACCATGCCGATCAAATTCATTTAAACGATGCATTTCAAAAGGTCATTCGTTAGTGCGATAAATGGCAGATGTCAGTTAATTTTAAAAAGACCGTTTTCATGAAAATTTCTCACAAACGTAACACTCTTCATTTTGCATATTCAGCCAATAATGTTTTTTTGCAGGAGGTAGAACACTACAAGTACCTTGGTCTTTGGATTTCGAAGGACCTTAACTGGACTAGACATATTAACACTGTAATAAGCTCGTGCAATTACAAATTATTTTATCTTAGACGAGCTCTTATGCACTCCACTCCCGCCGTTCGCCTTGTTGCATTTAATGCAATTGTTCAACCTACTTTAAATTATGCATCCATAATTTGGTACCCTTACACCAGAAAAAATATCAGCGAAATGGAAAAAATTCAAAAGAAAGCTGTTAGGTTTATTTATAACAGTTTTGGTCGTACTTCAATAACATGTTTATTAGCAAAAGCTAACCTCGCAACACCTACACAACGAAATAAAGTATTAAGATTGAAATTTTTCTTTCAGTTAGTTAAAGGTTATTTTAAGTTAGACTTATCACATAAACTTCATTTGTCCACAGGATATACCACAAGGCAGAGGCATGCCTTTACAATAACCCCATTTTCCACCCGTAATAACACATTCAAGTATTCGTTCTTCCCTAGGACAATTACCGAATGCAATAACCTTAGTAACGAAGTTGTTTCCCAGTCATCCTTGAACCTTTTTGCTGCGTAGCTCTAGCAGCGAGTGTGTAATTTCTATGACATGTGCTCCTGTTGTTTATTTCAATCACTGTATCCATTCTCCACTTGTGATCATCTTGAATTTAGCGCTCATTTCTCTATATGTTCTTATGCCGGTTTATTACAAACCACTGTTCTTTTTTTTTCGTTGTGAAAGTGTGTAAATGCCTTACCTGTTTTATATTTATTTGTTTGCCGATTTGTAAACTTATCAAATGTATATCCACCCTGCCAAAACCCTATGTTAGGGTTGCAGTATTCATAAATAAATAAATAAATAAATAAATAAATAAATAAATAAATAAATAAATAAAATAAATAGCACTTTGTTCGCGTAAGCTATAGCGACGATGCTGCTCTCGTGCAACTTTATGGATGCATATTGGGCACTTTTACGTATAGAGTTATGGCGTATAGTGGTCATTTTACAACTGCGCATGCAGTAGAAGTTCTGGAATAGCTTTAAACGGCCAATTTTAAGCACAGAAATGTTCGTTTTTTTGTGTGGCATGGTTTAAAGCGATGCGTATACGGGGCCTGATTACGCCATTACGCTCTGTTGTTGAAGCGAAGCTCAAGCGTTTTCCGAGATGTTTTTTTTATTTCAATTCATATAGAGCCCGAAATTTGTTAAATATGCGGACGCTACTGGCTACCTCAAGTTGGCGTTGTGAAAACCCAGAAAACTGTCTGCATAACATACAATGATTAAGTAAAAGTGAATGTCATCGTGCCAGCTCAGCTGGTAGTAAGGCTTCCCATGGTCTTTGCCTTTGCCTCTGCGACTTGAAGGGCAAAATTCTTTCCTTTTTTATGATTTGATGTGTTGATGCACTCATTCCCCACCTTCGATAGCTGCCTGTTCTAGACACAGTTTCACACAGCCTAAAGAGATCGCAGGCATTGGAAACTTCCGGCAGCTCCTGCACCTTACGTGTTTTACAGTGCCTCTGCGATCGGTGCACCTTTGGTAGAGCGACGCTGTCATTTATTGAAGTTATCACTTGAACATTGTATTTCTGTGTGACGGCATGACACCTGATGTAATGTGACATTGTTGTGACGTCATAACGAGGCCGCAATGTAGGTTGCCAGCTCCGTGAGAATGACGTTAGGGTGACGTCATGAAGAAATGACGAGTTTTTGGCATCACCCCTGTTGGCCACGACCGTCACGTCGCACGCATTATTTAAAGCATCGTGCCTCAAACAATGCCTTCTGCTTGTCCTTACAGAAGCTGGTCTACCCGTTTACGCTAGGAGGTTTTCTCGGCGCAAACCACGACTTGCGAGGGCTCCTCACCGCAGTGTGCAATTTATTCTGGTCTGTGCACTGCGACATTGGCTTTCTGCTTACCGGCATGGTCAGCCCCGAGCAGTTAAATAAGGTAACACGATACGCTGATAACCAGCGATAAGTTAGCAAAACGAAGAGCGATACAGTGTTATCCTCGACCTTAACCAACAAAGCCACGAAGTGCACTCTGAAACAAACCTATTCTTTCTTGTTTTACAAATTTTTTCTTCCTTGCCCCGTACTCGCTCATTGATGTATTATACTCACGCTTAGAGGCGTTGACGTTTGTAGATGACAGCGGCTATCCTTTTCGCGAAACTCTTCATGTAAACCTGCCTGTCCGCACATCTGCATTTTATCAGCGGAGAAGCGTTGGCCTTGGACAAACTTCTCTGGTCGATAACACAGGTTACTAATGAATCATCACGAACTGACTTCTTCCTTGAAGAGCGTCACGTGCATCAGGTAACTAAGCCAGCACGCATCCCTCTTTGTCCGCACGTCCTACTTAGCTTCCGAAGCATGTCCGCCCATCAGTTCGGCTTGAGATGGAATGACCAGGATGGACTCGATATTACAAAATGGAGAGGAGCAAAATAACAACTATGCAACGCGCAATAAAAGTGGTTGCCGAGTTGAGATTAGGCTACGAGTAGCTAAGGTCTGGAGACGAGCGTCGTCAGCCCTCGGGTGTCTAGTAAAGGTGTAGGAAAAGTGTTTATGAGCACCATATGATTCCATTGCTATGAGTGAGAGAACTGGAGAACAATAAAAGAAAAGGCAACGCAACAGGGCAAAAAAGAAAGAGAGAAAGAGAAAGTTAAATACAAATAAAAAAGAGACAGAAAGTAAGGACTATGCATTGTAGAGAGTATCAAGGGAATGGGAAAGGTAAGTGAGAGAGAAGTGTGATCTGAGGGTAGCAGGAGTGAAAAGAGCAGGGGAAGGCTATCGCCTTCGATGTTACCGGAGTCATTGTGCCACTAGTGCGTAGCAGTTCAACTTTCTCTTTTTCTTTATCTACACAAAAGAACATCGCAAGAGCCTTTAAAATTTTTTTTCGCTGTGGCAAACTGCTATAGCCTTGTAGCAACAAGTAATATGATCATTTTGGGAGCAGGTTACTGGACACATACCAATGGAACAGTGTGCCCATCATAAGCGTGACAGTCTCAAGAATTTGTTTGGCCGCTAACCAACCGATTCATCTCCTTTTGAAGATGTCTTGAGTGGACAAGCTTGCTCAAATTGTCCCTTCCTGGGAAGCATGTTTTCGTTTAGTGCGGCTAACAATGGTAGCGTCAACGTTGTAGTTGACGCTACCAGGTTACCTTAGTACAGGCACCTTAGTACAGGCACCTTAGTACAGGTTACCTTAGTTTACGCGCAGGTTACCTTAGTAACCTGCGCTTCGCCGATTACATTGCATTGCTGAGTAACTCAAGGGACGAATTGCAACTCATTATTACGGAGTTAGACAAGGAGAGTAGAAAGGCGGGTCCTAAAGTTAATCTGCAGAAAATGAAAGTAATGTACAACAACCTCGGAAGAGAGCAGCGCTTCGAGGTAGAAAATAGTGCACCTCAAGTTGTAAAAGAATATGTTCACTTAGGGCAGGTAATAACCGTGAAGCCGAACCACGAGATTAAAGTAACTAGAAGAATAAGAGTGGGGTGGAGCACATTTGGCAAGCACTCTCAAATTATGACAGGTAGATTGCCACTATCCCTCAAGAGGAAGGTATATAACAGCTGTATCTTGCCGGTACTTAGCTACAGAGCAGAAACCTGGAGACTTACAAAGAGGGTTCAGCTTAAATTGAGGACGACGCTGCGAGCAATGGAAAGAAAAATGGTAGGTGTAACCTTAAGAGACAAGAAGAAAGCAGAGTGGATTAGAGAACAAACGGGGGTTAAGGATATCATAGTTCAAATCAAAAAGAAGAAATGGACATGGGCCGGGAATGTAGCGCGTAGACAGGATAACCGCTGGTCATTAAGGGTAACTAACTAGTTTTCCCAGAGAAGGCAAGTGGGTTAGGGGGAGACAGAAGGTTAGGTGAGGCAGATGAGATTAAGAATTTTGCGGGTATAAATTGGCAGCAGCAAGCACAGGACCGGGTTAACTGGCAGAACATCAGAGAGGCCTTTGTCTTGCAGTGGACGTAGTCAGGATGATGATGATGATGATGATGATGTAGTTGACACCGCTGACGACGTTGGAGCCGAGAGGGATGTAGGAATATTCTTTGATTGTATCCAGCTCTGTGACGTTGCATAGTGTGTTCAGTGTGACTGAATGCGGAACATCAATTACCATAACGTTTTAGCGTTGGTTTCCTCAAATGTTGATTGTTCCCTCTGGCACCAGTCACTCGTGCTACGCCGAAACATATTGCCAGTTGAGGCGTTGATGTTGCCGTTTGGAAAAACACGAGCGAATGTGGTGGTACTCGACTTGGGTCTTCGCAGCAGTCTTTCCTCCATCTTGACTGCAGTTCTTCAACTTTTCCGCAATGCTGTTTTTTACAGACACGAATTCCTGTGATCGTGGGCCATAGTCCGATTGGCACGAGCGTTCAAAATCTTCTTCATTTTTACCAGGTATGATCTCTCATGCGTCAGCCCATTTTTGGGGAGTACTTAAAAGATCCCTCATATCACTTGGCATCTGCGTGAAGAAGGTGGAGCAGAGGGATAAATGATAAAATTATGTGCTTCTTTCAGATCTACAAAGCAAAAAACCTTATCATGTACGACCATGGCGAAGCGGAGAACCGTAGAAGATACGGCCAGGTGAATAATTGCTCCACAGTTTGTTCTGACCGTGTTCTGTTCAATCTAGAGAAGCCGACATTTCGATCACGAATTATCACAATCAACCCGGCGCATAGGTATTCTCCCAAGAGCGATATCGTGAAATATCTTGTGGACACCTTCGGCATCTCCTCGGGACATAGGAGAAGAGAAGCTGTGGCCTTCTTGAAGACGTATGCACGTGATCTCAATTGCGCAAAAATTTTCTTAAAATTTAAAAATTGCAAGACAGATATAGACCAGTGGTTGTTAAGGAAGGCTGAGTCTGGCTTTGGTCAAAAACTTAATTTTTCAATTTTGCAATCACCTGGTAGAGCATTTATTTAGTTTTACAGAACATACCGCACGTTGACGCTCGCGGTTTCCAAATAATACTTTTGTCCTTTTTTCTTAGCAGGTTGCAAGAAAACACGCGTACGCCGTAATGTAACTCGTGCAAGTTTTTCTCAAAGAACCTTTTTGGAGTTTGTGTACTTTTTTTTCCCTGGAACTACCAGGTATAGACAAGAACAATACTTTCACACGAGTTAATTGATTGCATTACTTAACTGAAAGGAAAATCAGTAGCCTAGGTGCATTTAGTATTTTGTTAGTGTAAAAACAATCATAAGATTTGAATTTCAATACTTTGATAAACGTAGAGAAAAAAATGAATATTTCAGTTTTTGTTGTAATCCTCCAACTTCCTTGCTACCACTTTGCAGCGTTCGGACTGTAATGCTATAGAAGTAGCAGATCTTAACAAATATAGGTATACAAAACAATAAAAAAGCACATACAAAATACACTAAACAGAATGTGCAGCGTCCGCCTTTAAAATATCTCGGAAGCTTTGCAGCCATAACTTTTATTACCACTGTAAACCTGTGAAGTTTGAAGATCAATTTCAAAATTTGGCCTCAGCTCAACTTAGTCATATAACTATAATAAATTCTTGGATCTTTCGGGCGTTTATGCATGTCACTTCAAGCGCTAAATTCTGCCCGTGTTTTGTTAGTTTAAATTTACGCAAACATTTCTGACAAAAGCTATACGAAACATAACAATGAAAAAAAAAATATTGGTCTTTGAGTGCTGAATAACTTTGTCATGGCCGATAGGCGAGTCTTGTCTCTCCATTTCCGTACTCTAAGGGTCAAGAAAACACGAGCAATATTTTACGTATAGTAGACATACTGACTCCCACAATTCATGTCAGAGTTTACCAGAGAGAGTAGATATTTACCTATAGCTCACTCTTTAGTAACACTATGCAAAATGACAACGTCTCAAGAATTCGAGTATGATAAAAACACTCCATTTATTAACAAATTTTACATTCAGACTCATTCGCGCCCACGTAAACTTATTTCAAGAGGGCTTGTAGCACAAAAACGTTAATTTAAACAAATCACACGAATTCCAATTTTTCAAAAATAACTTTAATTTTGATCACAGACATTTAGTCATGAAAATGACAATGAGCCGAAATAAGGAGAGCTCCAATGCAATTTTGACCTTATGTATAAGGTTGTCTCGGAGGCAACGCCGTAAGCATCCCAAAAATTTGGCCTTCCTGCTAATGAATGAGTAATGAAGGCAAGGAAGGTGTTGTCGATGTTAACCATGGTGTTTTTATTTTATCGTAATGAATGTATTATAAATGTAGAGAAAGTACAGCGGACAAAAAGACAAGTTGCCGCTGGCAGGTATCAAACCAGTAACCATTGGATAACGTACCTGAGAAGGTACGATGACCATCTCCCTCCCGGCTTCTTTAACGGTCACTAATGCATGAAAACCTGTCAGTGTTAACCATCGCAGCTCGTAGTCATGATGACCGATGTGTAACACTAATTTCTTTGCCAGGTGGGGATAGCTAGCGCATGATACTTTCTTTAACAGAAACGTGTTTCATGCCGGGGTTTATCAGAATTTCAGTGACATATTTCCGTCACGGATATGACGTTGTCAAGTTAACGCTACGCCAACCAGTCAGAAAAAAAAAACATTTCTACGTGGAGACGTGCCACTTGGCTGTTTCCACGTCAAACAGTACTACACCTGCGAAACGCCAATAAAATTTGTTCAAGCACTCGTACATAACTACACAAGAACCGCTATTTCTATGAAGACAGGCTTCACCTTTGTGTTATACCATTCCAATAACGAAGCAATCAGCCATGTTTTTTTTTTCTCTCTTTTAGTCTTGAGAGTGTCATTGATCTTTTGATCTACTCCCGTTGATCTGACAAAACGTCCTGCTTTCTCATTCTCACACACAGGTAACTCCACCAGCCTACCCCCTGGAACGCATTCACTACCGATAGCCATGTTCTCGTCTCAAGGCGATATACTGTCCAACACAGCAGACGTGGCGGACCTGGCTTACACACTCGGTTCCCGCGTCGTCTTTAGCCGAGTCGTTCCTAATCCAAGTTTTAGCCATTTAGACTTTCTAAACAGCTACCGAGCGAACGATTTTCTCCACAACACCGCAATAGAACTAGCCAAAAGTACTCTTCGCAAAACCCGTGATGCTTTGTCACAGACGGCTGTCCTTTGTTCACGCTCTTAAAATACTTCGATCTTTGCTGCATTCAGGTCTGCTCCAGGCAGAAACAAAGTGCCAAGCTAAAGTGATGTTACCCCGGAGAAGAATTCAAGGAAAATTGTTTACAGAAGCGTTATGCATACCTTAATCATTTCATTATTAGTGAGAGCAGTTAAAACATAAAATGATCATCGTTATTTCTGATTATTCAAGAATAAACAGCCTGAACAGGTGGTGGCCGTTATTAATCAATATTATCTATCACTTAGCCACCCCTTGATAAAACATGACCACATATTATACAGTTCCACCTAAAATTGACGAAAGCTCGTTGCCACGGCTTCTACTGCTGACAATAGGAATGTGCCAGAGGCTGTCGCCGATATCGTCGCGTACATCATCATATTTCGGAAAGATTTTGAAACAGGAGCAAAAAAGCAGCTTTCAATAAAAAATACAACTAGAGCTGTCAATTCATTTTTAACACGTCAAGATAGACACCTCGTGACGACTTGAAATTTCCGAGCTGACCTAACATGATGGGATTAATTTCAACGAAATCCAATCGGGGCTACGAGTATTCTTCGGAAACACAAAATACAATGTATTTTTCAACAGCCATACATCTTGTTTAGTGGGCTAGAAGGTTCCTTCAATGGGTTTTATTCAAATGCTAAAATGGCTATTGAAAAACATGACAATGATGTGGCAGAATCTGGAGTTTAGGGGTATCTTCTTCAATGGAATGCCAGAGGCATGAAGTCCCATATCTGGGACTTTGGCCAGCTTGTTCGGGCCAATCAATTTCCTATACTTGTCATATGCGAACCAAACCTATGAACGCCTTACAGATTGTCCGGTTATGAAGCTTTTCGTTTTCAGCCATTTGCGAAGAACGAAGCAAAGTATTTGTTTGCATCCGCACAGACTTGACACCTGTTTCACACTCAGTAAGTTCCAATGATGACAATCAGTACGTGTGTGTTTATGTAAAAAAGAATGCTGTTTCGTTCACACTTATTGGTGGATGTATATCTCCGTCAGCGCGATTTCACTGTGACAGATTATAAGACATTGTAATGAGGACCAATGGGCCTTGGATCATGACCGGTGGCTTCAACGACCATCACATGCTTTGGTGGAGCACTAGGATGAATGCCAGGAGCAGGAATATTGTTGCATTCACTTCCGACTACGACCTTTGCCTCATGAACGGTGGTCACCCAACATTTTTACGGAGTCTCACGTATGGTAGTTGCCTTGATCTGAGATTTATGTGACGGTGCTTCTCTCACAAATTTAAATGGTTTTGCGACATTGAGACTCACGGGAGTGATCACATACCTACGTACGTAAAGATCGATGGACTCGAAAAAAAAGTTTTCTTGTGGTGTTGTAATAGGCACTGACTGGTCGATGTTTACGTCGCGTGTTAAAGACGCTTGCCAAGAAGGCCTTGCCTGCAGCCTGGAAAATACCATCGCGAAAGCTATGCCAGCGTACAAATGTAAATTATCATTATTGTCTAAAAAAAACGTAGTTTGACATCGATCTGAAAAGATTACAAGCTATACGAAGGCCTGCTGAACGACGATATAGACGCACAAAATCGGTTTGTGACCTGAGGGAAGCAACACGGCTCCAGAAAAAAGATTCAATGACGCATTAACAAGCTGGAGAGCATACGCTGGAAAAAATTCTGCGAATATCAAGACCTTCATAAGCCGCTGTCATATATCTAAAGAACAGTTCGTGGTCTTCGCTCCTCTCCGCAACAACGGCAACCTTTGAAAGCTTTGGCGCTCCACCATGGAAAAATAGAACTCGATGTTGCTGAAAATTTTCGCACGAGAGTTGCCCGGAATATTATGAACGAGAGCACCGACGCCATGATTGTTCCTGAGACTCGATTACCAGAAATGGACCTTCCATTCACCATAGAATAACTGGAAGGTGCGTTAGTCACTTCAAAGCGCACGTCATCGCCAGGTCCTGATGGTATTACTTATAGTGCATATGACCATCTTGAAAAAAAAAACAAAGAACTTTCAACGTGCTTTAATAACTCCTGGCTCAGCGGCAGTGTTCCCCGAGGATGGAAAACAAGTCTATTAATACCACCTCTGAAACCGGGAAAATCACCATTGGACTTGACAGCGTATCGCCCTATTGCCCTCGCAAGCTGCCGCGGAAAAGTGTTGGAAAGAATGGTTCTATTTCGTCTCGAGTTGTACTTGCAACGATACACCAACTACCCTTCCTGCATGACAGGCTTCCGTCGGGGCCGCTCTTCCATCGACTGTGTCCTCGACTTATGAACATTTGTTCAGCAAGAAAAAAGTCGCAAGCGTATATCAGCGGCACTCTTTCTTGACGTGAAGGGTGCATATAACAATGTAGCTCACGATGCCATCCTCACTTCTCTCGAAGCAATGGGCCTTGGTGGACAAATGTTTCAATGAATAAAAGACTATATAACTGGCAGGTGCTTTTTTGTGCAAACAGATGAGGGTAAACTACTGAACACTACACCTACTGCGGAGTACCTCAGGGAGGTGTTCTAAGCACCACCTTGTTCAATATTGCCTTCATTGGTCTGGCGGAGGTTCTGCCAAAGTTGGTGTGCCTATCTATATACGTCGTTGATATTTGCCTCTGAAGTGCTGCAGTTACCCGCCCTCAGGTGCGTGCGCGAATACAGCGAGCAGCAACCCTCACAACAGCCTACCTTCAGAAACAAGGCCTAACTATATCAATTGTGAAGTGCACGTTGATTGCGTTTACACGCAAATCAATGACGCCATACCCTGTTTACATCAATGGACAGAGTGTCATATGTGCACGGACGCATCGTTTCCTGGGCATAATAATCGACAGAAGTCTTTCATGGAGCCCGCTTTGTGCGTACTTGAAGAAGAGACTGCTATCTATTGTGCATATAATGAAATGCATGCGTAGGAAAGCATCAGCAATTTCTGTGGCCTCCATGCTACAGTTGTACAGGTCCCTATTTCTGGGTCTTTTGCGATACAGCTTGCTGGTACTGACCAACACTTGCAAATACAATATTCGTTCGTTAGAGAGTTTGCATGGTCAGGTGCTGCGTATCTGTCTAGGACTACCCCGATGCGCTTATACCTGTGCCACAATAGCGCTTGCCAAGGGCCATTTGGTTAGGACGTATACAGTTTCTATAGTCGGGAGTCTGACGGAATCCCGTCTGGTCGGGGACAAACATAGTGCAAAGTAATGAAAACGTCGACCAAGGTAAAATACACAAAAATTAAAGAGAAGTTTTGGCTCCCCACACAGGATCCTTGTTCACAATGACCGCAAATGGCGTAGTGCGCTCTTATGCACGTTTCATCCCATGTTGCTGACATCGCGCGTGCACATCGGGGAGTGTCCCAATATTTCTGTTCAACGTTTGTGCAGTAGTCACTGGCCATTCGAACTACTGCGCATACGTTGAACAGAAGTATTGGGACACTTCCCGCTGTGTACGCTCGATGTCTGCAACACGTGATGAAACGTGCATAAGAAGAGCGCTCTACGCCATTTGCGGTCATTGTGAACAAGGATCCCGTGTGGGGAGCCGAAACGTCTTTTTAATTTTTGTGTATTTTACCTTGGTCGACGTTTTCATTACTTCGCACAACATACACTGTTGTCGATTGCCTCAAAGCGCACATTCGACATGCCAGCTGTGTCCCCGACCACCACTTGGCCCTTCTACCCTCCGAAAGACCATGTGCTACGTTTTCAGACGTCATAGCCAAGCACCTAAACAGCATTCCGTCAGAATATATGCCAGCTACGAGAATATGTCTCCGTGTTGAAGAGGGAGGAAGACGAAGTGATTCGTTTACGGAACACATCTTGCTCGTCTTTGTGCTTTTCTGGATTTTTCGCCGCAGTTGTGGGGTCTATCGCCCCATATATCGTGGTGATGGATGTTCAACCTCACGGGGCACCGTCCGAGTCCGGTTCGACCGCGGGGACTGCTTCGAGGAAGCGAGGAAACGCGTCTAGTGAGAGTGATGACACTGAGCTGTACTCCGCATCAAGCGACGAGTCCTCGGACGACGGCTTCCAACCCGTCCTGTACCGCAAGGCTAAACGACGGATTGTCAATGCATCTTCGGCATCAAGCACTACTACCGTGAAAACTGCCCCTCAGCGATGGCTTCACTCTATCCTGTTTGTGCCACTGAAGGCTACCGACAGTCTACGCGGGCTGAACTGGCAAGCGCTCTCTGTGTATCTCGAGAATATTACGCCAAATCAGATCAAATAAATACGTCTAAACGCAAGAAAGAACATCTTGGCAATCGATGTGCTGAACCCACGTGCGCTAAACGCGCTTCAGAAAGTAACGCAACTGGGTAACATCAATGTCAAGTCTATAATACCAGCTGATAGCACCACTTCAACAGGAGTCATTTATGACATCACCACTGAAATTCGAAACTCGGATCTTTCAGTGCTAATAAAACCGGCAAATGAAGATAACGTTATTGTGAATGTCAGCCGCCTTGGTAATACACATTGTGTGAGAATTACGTTAAAAGGGGACTGTCTCCCCTCTCATGTGAAGGTTGGCCACTTTCGTCACCAGGTCCGACCATTTATTCCAAAACCTATGCGATGTCATAAGTGCCAGAAAATCGGCCAAGTGCAGGGAGCGTGCAGGAACTCAGAAGTGTGCCCCCGATGCTCAGAACCACATACTGAGGACAAATGCAGCGCAACCATACTAAATTGCCCTAATTGTCAAGGTGCCCACAGCGCATCTTACAAAGTCTGTCCACGCATAAAGAAGGAGTTTAATATTCTTACACAAATGGTGCGACACAGCTCTACCCACAAAGAGGCCGCGGAAAAAGTCCGGCGAAGACGACGACGTCACCGTCGAAGATCTTCGCAAAGAACGCAGTCCACTACAAAAAGTAAACCAACGCATCTAGGACCGGCGCCCACTGCAGGGTACACCGCGGCGAACGCAGACGATGGAAGACAGAAAACAAGTAGATCTCTCTCTACTGAAGAGTGGCCGCCACTTACGCGCACGCAACTTGTGGAAGAACCACATCAGAAGCCGCATTCATCAGAGCAAGCTGCGACAACAGAGGAGCAGCGGAACTTGGATAAGCAAGTGATAGCTCTTCTACGACCCATAATTAATGCCATTCGCACGGTGTTAAACAACATGCGCACAACGTCAGCCAAAAGTGCACTGCAAGTACTGGACG